GCGAGAAAATGACGATTTACCTCTATGGCGAGGTCCAACTGTAAAGAAAAAGCCGCCATTTTTTAATGCGTGCGCGCTAATCACGCGTGAAATTATGCACAGTAGGGATGCGCAATGCAATATTAAGTTTGTAGTATTTGCCTGATACTCGTACAACACGTGACTGCAAATCTTGACGGCTTTTATTTTTGTGGGGTTTAAAGTTTGCTGTCTTGATAATTTTCTTCTTCAAGGGGTTAAATTTTCGTGTGTTACAGGCCAGAAAAACCAGGAAAACCAATCCATTCGAGTTATTCCTTAGAACAAGCAGTTCTGTGTGACTCCAGTCAATAACCTCGAGGTCTAGTTGACAATAGCATCTTTAGGGGTAATCACTGGACTGAAGTTCAGCGTTTTGTTAGCCTGCGAATAAGCTCAGTTCGCTGGCCGACTCGCCTTTCGTCGGGCAACGTTTTGTCCGCATCACTCGTTCTTGCTCCACCAATAACTACGCAAAATCGCTTGTTTTGCGGGATAAACTTAAACTTCTTCGAGTTGACGGAAACAAGACTATCCAAAAAGGAACTGCTAGCAGTTTACGGGATACGCAAGAAAGATGAGCCCGTGAAGGAAGCAATTATTCGAGAGGTCAAGCATGACGTTACGGCAAAAAGTGCCTCTGATTTTGTTTTCTTTTCCTCTGATCCTTAACCATTCGAGCCCCAATTACGCATATATGCGTAATTAATGGTCGTGCTCTTTGTACCACTTGTGACGTCATCAATTTAAATGTCAGCAGATAGTATTACTAGGCTAGGCCTTTCCGTACAATGGTCAGGTTTAGATATCGACGACATTCTGACGTCGCTAATCGAAAAACGTCATCAGTTTTGGTGCAAAAGCGGTGGTAAAATGGTCCACTACGCCTATGATTGATCAAGGTCCATTTCTAGGCTTCGCCCGTAATTAACATCCAACTTTTCACGGCAGCCAGAAAGAACATGCAACGCAAAAGGCAGCCAGAGTAAAAGGGCCGAGAAAAAAAGAAAGGAAAGGGGCAACAAACAAAATTGAGAACGGTTAATGGCAAAAAAAATTTGCTTCTGTGCATGCCCCGAATTGAAATATTGCTCAATTTTGTACGAAATCCTCGAAAAATCTCTCCTTCTGGTAAAAAAAAAGCTTTCTTAGCAAAACTTAGGCTTATTTAGCGTCGTGGCAGCCAAAAAAACTGACTAAACGGTTAAAAGCGGTATTGTTTGGCGAAAATTTGGTATTCAAAGGCTTAAATCATTTTCTCTTGGTTAAATCAATTCAACACAAAAATTAAAAAATCTCTTATTGACAGAAAATACAAATAATCTCACTTAAATGTACACACGGCTAAAACAACGGCAAAAGTTTGATTTTTGCCGTTTGCCGTACACGTCATGCTTAACCTCGCTATTGCTATCGCTGAGTGAGCGCGGGGTAGGGTATCGATGAAAGAGAGACCACACAGAGTAACCATTTTCTGCGTAAAATAGTTTATAAAATACTGAACTCGTATATTACAATAGTTATCAGTTGCTATGAATACAGCATTGCATCGTTATGTACACGTTCAAAGCTTACAGAAACATGCACAAGAAAAACAGACAGCAGCATTTGTTGAAAGCGCGTTCAATTTTTTTTTTTTTCACAGAAGTAGCTTTCTTTACATGTACAAGTCTTAGCCACAAACGTAAACCAAAAAAATAATTCAGTTGTTTCGTTTTTCGCCTATCATCTTATTTACAAATGTGGTAAACTGGATGCAAAAAGGTTTTTCATTTACCAAGAAACGTAGCTAAATGGTTTCCTTCGTTCACGAGGCAATAAGTCAAAACTGCCTAAAATAGCTTGCGAGAACCCACACTCAGAATGTATCCCCGAGTAAAGGAGGCGAAGCCTCTTCGTTTTCAATTTGAATCAGTGACATTGAAGAGCGACGCAGTGGCGTGTAAATTGGGCATAAATTGTTGACGCCGCCAAGGAAGACGTCTTTGTACGAAACGTTTGGAAACAGTTCCTTTAGAGCTGCATGTGCTCGCGTCACTTCCTCTTTGGAGGCACGAGGGTTTTCTCGGGAAGCGGGACGGGTCGCTCTTGTGAATCCACGTGGAACAGTAGGTCTGATAAGCTCTGTTCCACGGCGAATTCCACAGCTTTGTAGCTCATCTGCAGAACAAACGAAGACAAACGTCATGAGAGGAAAAAATTAACAGTCTTTTTTTGAGAGAGTAGGTGAATTTAAAGAACAACTGTATACTGGTAACAAAGGGGTTATTCTTTACGGGATTTGAACAAAAAAAACTGGACCGTGAAATAAATGACATACAAGTAAACAACATTAACCACGAAACCTGCTAAACTGATCAACGATTTGAATCATACCGGCTGGAACTCTTCATCTATTGGTGGAAATTGGAAATCGGGTCCAAAATTGAGAGTGACCTGAAAAAAAGAAGCCAAAAAAAAAAAAAACCCAGAAACATGTGTGTTAGACATTTTTGTCACAATTAACAGCGATGAAATCTAATAATACCCTTGTCTCAAATAATAAGGCTTGTTACTGTACCGTGGAATTCTTGTAGAGCGATACCGCTGGATAATACGTCCCGTCGTAGACATCTTGCCAGGCAACGCCCTGAAATATATATATCTTAATAGATGTTTTGGTGTGTCAAAAGTAGCAGGAAAAAAACTGCGATGGGAAAATGAACTTGATGTTTAACTCACCTGACAAACACCGTTTCTGTAAAATTTTACCTACAAGAAAAGGACAGAAACAAAAAGGAAAAAAATGACACCACGATGCCGGTGATTTTATGGACAAAAGTTAAATGAAAGCCGTTGATAATAATTGCAGGAATAACTGAAAAGGTAAAACCAAACACAACGGCGCCAGCAGCAACAGTGCAAACTCTTAGCAGTACAATGGCGATGCGTTCAGTTTTAGTTACCGTTCTGAATTTCCAGGAATCCAATGTTATCGGAGTGAAAGTAAACTCAAGTCGTTCTTACGTATGTCGGACCGTGGACAAAGCAAAAACATATATGAGGGAAACAGACCCGAGATATCAGAGCGGTTTTTAGTTGAGTGTCACAAAACCAAAACCAAACCAATTACTTACCAATGTTAAACTACTCAACCAATTTCAAACCGTACAGTAAAACCAAAACCAACACCGGAAGTAATTGCCTGATTACTTTCGACACTCAATTGAAAACCACACCATTCAAGTCAATCAAATTTGGGTTTTGCTCGTGATTGGCCAGAAGTCCTAGGTGGCCCATAGTCATAAGGAGTTGGGTAACAGGTAAAAGGTAAGTTCTGACTGGTGAAACATTCTCCAAGCGATGGCGGTTAAGAGATAATCTATTTTTTTGAGTCAGCTTACCTGACTTCCAAGTAAAGGTTTTAGGTTCTGCAAAGAAATAATCATTGTCAGCAAGTTTTCCAGGTAACCATAGCAAGTCAGCCACATAAGTGTGCAGACGAAAATAAGGAAGTAAACAAACAAGACAGCTGTAGATTAGAATAAAAGAGAATTCACTGTAACTGTTACCTTTTCTGCCTTGTCCACAAGGTCTTTTTCTTCGAAGTAAAGATGACTTTTAAATTTTATTAATGCCTTGAAAGAAACAATAAGACGGTAAATTTTTAAAGGTTGGCTTTCGAGCTTAGCGACCCATAAGGCCGGCGCATATTGCCCTGAACTTAGGCAGAAGGAAACAAAAATAGAAAAAAAGTTTGATTTGTGTTTTACCTTATCTTTAAACGTGGGTGGAAGAAATTCCGCTGTAAAGATAGGAAAGAAAACCATTAAGCCGTTAGCACCAACAAAACGTTCTTGATTAAGTGTGACAACTTGTTGGTTCTTAGCCAATCAAATCAAAAAGCCGCCAAACGCACGTGTGTGCTGGGTCCCGCCCATTCACCATTCAAAACATGATTTCCTTTGAAAATGCATGAAATGTTTTCTGTCCACACTACGCCGGAGAAATTTGAAAACGCAATAAACACAGACCATTTTGGATTTGTGTTTGAGAAAGACTCGGGCAGCGAAATCACATGACTATTATGACGTCGTCCTTTTCGAAAAGCTCCGTTTTTCGTGATTAGTGTAGACGGTCGGCCTAACTGTAGAAACAAAGCTACGTTTTCAACGTTAGACTAAGCATGCTTTCAATTAGCCAAGCAGGGCACAAAATCTTGCCTCTGTCAATAGAAAATAAACTATCGTAATAAAGGTTCACATCTGTGCACTTCCAGTTGGAAGAAAGTGGCTCAACAGCCGGTTCCCTTCTTCAGTTTATTAGCACTGAATGACTAGGACTGTTGCTATTGCCGCTATAAGGAGGAATCCTAGTCGATTGCCACTATGGTTTATATTACAGTTTCTTGAGCATTGACCACATGCAGCTCCTCTTTGTTCTTAGTCCATCGGGTGTGCCAGGTTATAAAGCGTGAAAGGAAAAATGGCTGCTCGAAGTCTCTGCCACCAAATTTTGCAGTCATTTTTCCTCCTGTACTTTTGTTTTGGCTTCAGGCTTGACAGAGTAGAACAACGAAGGGCTGATTGTAGTCCACTTTGCTGAAACCCATTTAAACTCTGGAGTGAAGCGAGGGGTTGTAACACAATGACCTTGAGACCCTCAAACTCTGAAGAACCGCTGGACAGGACCTTTCTGGTGACAGATTACCTTTTCTGGTGGTTGTTTTTGTCTGTGACACAGGCTGCCCCAAATAAATCAACTTTTGAAAAGTGTGAAAAGCTAGGATAAAAAAATGAAACAAAATGAACAACATTTTTACCTGGATGTCTGTTGTTTTCTGGCAGACTGATAAAAAATCCTATTACATCACCAGTTGAGTATCCATCGCTACAACAAACAAAAAAGAAAGAGTGCCTTCTTGTTATTTACTAAAATCACTTTGTCTATCAATACATAATTTTTCGATAACTGCAGAAATTCTTGCATGCTCATTGGCTAATTTTCACTGTCAATAAGCGGACAGACACATGAATTTATAATGTTCAGTTCCAGAAAATATCCATACTCCCCCCACAGAAGGGCTCAATAACAGGACAGACGCATGAAAAACTGACATCAATTTGTTAACTTGAAATCAGATCACAATAGTACAAAACATCAACAGTTAGGCAAATGTAGCTTTTGTGAGGAAAACCTCGCTGGAAAATATATTAATCAATAAAAAAAGAGGCTTTCTGCCCACTTACCTGTAGTGTTTTCCTCTACTCTCATGGAATCTTGTTCCCTTTTTACTTCTCCAAGAATAACTAAATTTATCATAACCTAATGGTGCTTGAAGATTTCCTAAATTGTAGAAGAAACATTTTAATCAGTGTGAAAGAGGTAAATTTAGTTGGCCCTTAATGTAGCACTTTTTAGGTTGTTGTTAGTTCTTGCCTAGAACTAGAATCTCAGGCTTCTAATTCTTCTTGAAAACCAACAGGTTTGATTTCAAGATGGATTAATTTAGTGTTACCATTGTGACGCTACCCTGACTTGTTAGCAAAAGTTCTTGATTCATGCTTTTTAGCATGCATCATGGAGTTATCACATATAAGGGAAGTTAGCTTGGAATACAAAAAAAAGCATAAGAGTTGCTGTAGGTGCAGCTGACAGCAACTCTAGCTTTTTGAGAACTCTCCACACTTCCCAAGTGCATCATAACTTGATTTACACTAAAGCATGAATCAATCGTTTCATAGCATTGCCAACGGAAATCACAAAGGAAAGTTAATTTAACTCATGCCCCAAACAAGCATCATTGGATTATGATGCACACCTAAGTAAACTGAGTTTGAAGGTGCAACTTTACTAGCTGTGTTATAAGTATAACATTTATTGATTAAATGACATTGATTACAAGTTAATTCTCACCGTACAGTTGTGACCATCCAATCCTAGTAGCTGTGTCTGAAGGTAAGTCTACTGTAGCCTGGAAAATATCAGTCAATTAACATTATACCTTATAATAAGGTAAAGTCTGCTTACGAGCCAAATGGCCCATCAGGCCGGAGATTATCCCAGTTTCTGTAGCATGAAACAACTAGGAGTATTTCTACTCCCCCCTGGATGGGGTGCTAGTCCATCGCAGGGTTACCCCCAGCATTAAATTCACTGGTACCCATTTATACACCTGGGTGGAGAGAGGCAACGTGAGAGTTAAGTGTCTTGCCCAAGAACACAACACAATGTCCCCAGGCAGGGCTCGAACCCGGACCACTTGCTCTGGAGTCGAGCACACTAACCATGAGGCCACCGTGCCTCCCACATAATAATAACCAGCTTAAAACAAATCAAAATACCTTTTTCAGTGGCAGCCAACTGAAAAAAGATTTCATGTTTTTTAAAAATAAATTAACTAAATGTAAGACAAAAAAAAAACTTGAATTTGTGTTCTGCTCACCTCAAAGTACCAATTACCCTTGGACACTCCTGCAAAAATTGATTTCAAAACAGTTTTAATTCAAATTACAGCTGTATTTCAAATCCTTTTGAACTAGCTTTTAGATAGTTTCTTTGATATTTTCTTAAATAGTTTCTTTGATATTTATTAAATATATAAAAAATTACCATGAGTGGCTCGTAACATACAGTAGCCTTTCTCCCCTGTAACTGATAACCTATCTTCAGATAACTTCAGTTGAGGAGCTGAAACATCAATTTATACAAGGCATTAGGCTCTCACTGAAATGAACTTTGTCGAACAAGAAAACAAAATGAAGTCTTTTAAACCCCCCTTATTTTTTACCTTTCTTTTTCTTATATAGGACTCAAAACAAGTGTTGTGTGGTTGTCTGGTACAAGTACATGTAGTTTTTCCTAGTAGGAAAGTAACTTTTCATTCTCACTTGCCCCAGGCAAGTTGTCTGC